CACCCCAGGCCACAACCTCAGGAAATAGCAGAGCAGGAGGCACATGCATCTCCCAAGGTCACTCGTGGGGATCCAGGCGTCACTCTTGGACAAGGGGACCCACCTGGAACCTCAGAGTTGGCACAGAGATTATATTAAGCTGAAGACACTTGAGATTCAACAAGTGTCTTGCATGAAAAACCTTCTCAGAGGTCCTCTTACTGACAGCAGCAACTTCTAGGAAATAAGTGTTACAGGCAGCCTGAGTTAGATAAAAACATTGTAGATCGTTAGACAGGGTCAGGCCCTTGAAGGAGATGACAAAGACTAGGCACCTTACTGGGGAGATGCTCCTGGCGTAAGCCAGACCTAAACATCAAACAAATGCTGACCTCCCTAAAGTTGGCATCCAGGATAGCTCATTAGTCGGGAAGAATCATCGACTGAAGGCCACCAGATAAGGTCCCGATTTACATTCATGCCCGCTTGCTACATGACTCCCTACCCCATTTGGTCCTAGGCCTAATAAATTTTACCTGAGCAATGGTGCTTGTAATCCCATTGGTTGACCATAGTTTTGTCCAACCCTGCATCTGCCTAAGTGAGACCCCTTTGTCTCTACCTCAACCCTACATGATTTTACACTATAAAAGTCCCTGGAAGAAATAGCTTCCTGGGCAACCCGCTCAGGTCCCCCTTCTGTCCCTCTCCAACAGAAGCTTTCCTTTCCAATAAAGTTTTACCCTCAACCTCCATTTGTTCCTAAAATTCATTCTTCAGTTTTAGAGAACCCAAACTCATCCAGGCCAGGTTGGGAATTTCATGTCCCTATATCACAAGGCCACAGAAATGCCCTGAGGGGAGCTTCCTGCCATAAAGCTTGCTGAGCCTCAGTGCTTCCTGCAATCCAGTGCCACCACAAACTCATTCTCTGTCCTCCTCCAAGCCCCTGGGTCTGGCCTAAAGAAACCTATCTGTCCTCTGGGAGCTTCTCCTCCTCCACTTCCCTCCTCAAGGAGGATTTAAGCCCCCCAGTTTCAACCATCCCTGAGTCACTCCTGGAGCACTCTCATTACAGGAGGACCTGGTGAACAAACCCTCTTGCTTCTCTGTCTGTTGTCAGTTTGATTCACAGGCTTTCTGGGGTTGAACACGAGAAGGCAAACACTGTTTTCCTTCCCGACACCTGGATCAGCAGCCAGGGACAGCCCTGTCCAGCACGAGGCCTCTGTGAGAGGGTGAGCTTGGAACAGAGAAGCCCAGCCCTCTGGTCAACAACAAGAGAGCAGCAGGGGCCTGCTGGCGCTCCACACCCCGGTTCCTACTTACGGACAAGAAGGACACACAGGCCCCTGCTAAAGCTACGGGGAGACCTAGGGAAAGGGGCCGAGCTGATCCAGCCTGCTCCTGGGTGAAGATGGCTCTGAGGCTGCTCCAGGGATGCCATGTGCCGCTGCCCAGAGCACCCTGCTGTCCTTCTTTCCTACAGCCAGAGGTGCCAGTCACCTGCTTCTTTCTGAGGCCACTCACTGCACATTTCCCAATCACCCAGCAGGGCTCATGTGCTGGATTTCATCAGGGTTCCCACAATGGATTAGATAAAGCCCCTCTCTCAGGCACTCACATTCAGAAACTCAAGCAAAGTGTAACCTTATACACATATACACAAAGACAAATAATATTAATAATAATAAGACAGGGCCGGCGAGATAGCTCAGTGGTCTAAGCACTTGTTTGGCAAGGGCAAGGACCCAGGGTTCAGTTCCCAGTACTGCATGCCAAGCTGGCCACCAAAACTCGGCATGGTGGCACACGCCTGTGATCCCAACGCTGGAGAGGCTGAGACAGGAGGATCACCATGAGTCTGAGCTGCATAGTGAGACCCTGTAACAAATACATAAATTAAAGCAGGAGGAAGAGGAGGAGGAGGAGGAGGAGGAGGAGGAGACAACATTATCAGAGTACTCACTGTGCCAGGCACATGTTAAATACTGTACATACTATTAGCCATCACAGTGAACTCAAAAGGGCTTTGTGTGTGTGTGTGTGCAAATATGGGGATGCTGAAGTGTTAAACACTGTAGCAGACACAAATGGGGTGTCTGGCCAAGTCTGTCTGATCCTCTCCACTTTTGGAAAACCAACTAGCTCTTCTCTGCCACATAGTGATTGATCCAAATGGTGATCACATGACCCAGGTTAGGCCAATCAGAGTTCTTCCTGTGAATTATGGCCTGGGAACTATAGAGAAAACCTGCTGTGTCGCTGGCCATGGAGGTAGGCTGATAGGAGTTGACCTTCTGTTTCTAGTGGCCAGAATCTGTCTTCCCCCTCCCCCTTTATATATTTGGTACAGGGTCTCACTATGCAGCTCGGACTGGTAGTGATCCTCCTGTTTTCAGCCTCCCCAGTGCTGGGATTACAGGCGTGTGCCACTATGCCCCAGACTTGGTCACTGGCTCAGTGTGCCACCGGGGCGGGGCTGGCACAGAATCTGTCTTGTAGAGAAGTCTGTCAGAAAGAATTAGAGGGCTGGCCAAATAGCTGAGCAGATTAAAGTGGGCACAGGGGCCTGAAATTCGATCCTCAGGCCCTGCCTGCCCCTGGGGCACGCTGAGACAGCGATTGAGTCTGGGCGCCTGTAAGCCCAGCATTTAGGAGGCTGTAAACAGGAGGATCACTACGAGTGTGATCTACACATTGAGACCCAGTATACCCTGTACACCTTGTCCTAAATACAAAAAAGAGAAAGAATTAGGATATCATAGAGAGAAGGGGCCCTAAGAGCAGAATCCACGCAGGCTTCGAGTCATACAACCAGCTCTGACTGCTCCCCAGTGCAGTTTGACACTGAGCCAGCAAATTACCTTAATGTAGACAGAGCTGGGTTTTTATCCATTGCAACTTGCAGCACCCAAACCAAAGGTCCCCCTTGGGCTAGTAGGGCGCAGTCCCAGCAGCTTCTTGCCTAAGATGTGACCAGACCAAATCCCCAGGTGGCACGTTGGGGGGAGTTTTATTCTATAGATGTTCCCAGGGGGCAAGTGACTGTGGGTTGATAGTTCCCAACTGCTCAGTTCCCAGAGAGAAAGGCACGGCCACCCATGACCATCCCATTGAAGTCACATCATTTCTGACAACAAATTCCTGAGTGCTTCTTTCAACATGAGGGACCATGCTTTGCCCGTGTGTCTCTTCTAACCACCCCTTAACCCTTCATGGTAAGTACTGTTGATGCTGTCTTAAAAGTGCAAGTGGAAGCCAGGTATGAGGCGGATCCAGCATGCCCACCTGTAATCCCATCATTTGGGAAGCTGAGGCAAGAGGATTACTGTGAGTTCGAGGCCAGCCTGGCCCACATAGTGAGACCCTGTCTCATAAAACTAAAATAGGCAGGTAGGTAGGCAGGTAGATAGGAATAAAGATGAAAGTTCAGATGGAAGGGCTGAGGGTGCGGGACAATGATAGAGCAGGTGGTTATCATATGCAAGGCCCTGGCTCAACCCACAGCACCTAAAAGCAGTTTTTAAACAAAAATTTTGATTAAATAAATAAAAGTGTAGAAGGAGACACTCAAAAGGATTAGTAACTGCCTCCAAAATCCCCAAGGCAGGGGAGGGCAGGGTGGGAGCTGGCGCTCCCAGCCTATTCTCTGGTGGCCCCCTTACTGCAGTATCACAATCCATTCCAGGCCTCTTAGAGACTCTGACCACCACCCACACTAAAGACTTAGGTTGATCCCGTCGAAGACCAGGCCCAGGTGGACTCACCTTTAGGGCCTAGATGAGAAAATGGCCCGCCACCTTCCTCACTTTCTTCAGATAGGTCTGAGGCTCCTAATCTTAAAGTACTTGAGCTTTGCCAGGGATATGGCTCAGTGGCACAGCCCCTTCCTGGCAAGCATGAGGCCCTGAGTTCCATTCCTGGTACCAAGAAAAAGTCAGGGAACCTCGACTTTATAGCCACTAGAGGCCTGTGTGGAGGGCAATTTCTCCTGTGAGGTGATTTCTTCTCATCTCCCTGGTCTCTGTCCCTTTAGCTCACAGGTGCCAACTACAGCCTGTAGGTGTGCTTTGTTCAGCATTCTCAGTAGTTTTTAAATTTTAACATTTAAAAGCTGTAATTTTTACTAAGATGTCTGGATTTAAATTTTCCATACTAATTTTTTAAACCCTCCCTTACAAAGATACATTTCTGATTTTTCTTTTTTTTT